AATTGCGGATAAGTAATAATAAGGATTATTATTTGGAAAAGTACATATCCAGTGGAAGATCGACCTATCTCGGCCGCCAGTTCGAAAGCGCCGTATCTCAGAAAGCTTTTTAAGAACTTATTTCAGAATTTTATTGAAAAACACCCTATCTCAGAATTCGGTTCAAAAACGCCCCAACTCAACTGAAAATATATTGATAATGTGCTGAGATAGGGCGTTTTCGAATCTGCAAGCTTATAGTGCATCTGTATCATTATTATCGTCGTTTAAAGTACAAAACCGCGTATCAACAAAATGTAAAACCGCATATGTGAATTATGTAAACTATTTTCTAGACAATAAAAACACATATTGCAAAATGGTTCCTTTTTTCATAAAGCAATCGCATTTCTGGATAGTATATTTCAGGACGAATGGATAAATATTGAGCCAAGAGCTTGTGTGAGCAAATCCAATTTTTGGCAGCAAATGTCAGTTACGTAGTGTTGCAGATTGACGATACGCGGTTTTGTACTTTAAACGACCTTATATTTCTTTTCAATAAAACCGTTTAACTTAAAATTTTTTTTACTTACTTTACTTTCAACTTTTTAGTTTTTTACTTAGTTAATTATTAACCCTACATGCCTAAGCTTTAACCTTTTACCTTAACTGTGGGGGAAGGATGGGGTTACCGCTAACGACAATTTATTTGTAGCCACTCTACTAACAACACACATTTCTCGACGTGATACGAAATCTTAACTTGGTAGGGGTTCGTGCCTGAATTACGATTCTAAGTTGACAAATCCTTTGTTGTGATTAGATACCTAGATTTCAGTTTCAATATATTGACTGCCTAAACTCATTTCCCGTTCCGTCATTTTTGGGACGACATTTTCGATGAGATTTTTTTTTCTAAAATTGACTGTATTGTACCAGTCAAATCTCTTCATTTGCTACCCATATTGAAAGGGTCGAAAAAAATGTAATACGCCATTTTGTGGTTGGCGCCATCTTGGATTTGGAACTTTTTCATGGATTTTCCCCTACTTGGCTAGATTTTTGTGTACGCAAACAGCAAAACTATCTCAAAAACTATCAATACGCGAATAAACCTAATAACTGCCGAACTTAGTTAGTTTTTTGAATAACAATGTGGTGAGCTTTATTTTCGACATATTTTAAGAAATAGTTTCAATCCTCGTACTCCTGATTTGAAGCACTTGCTTTAAAAGTTTGCAATCCGAAGGGTCACTTCAATTTTTTTGTTAACTCCGTTCAAAGATCCAGTTGTTGGAACAGCACAACATACTTTTAACGAAAATCATTCTTCGGCACGCAATGTTGTGGAGAGAACTACATATAGGGGCTTTAAGAAGCCGGTTTAGATATTTAGCTCGCTCTCTTCAATACCAAACATTATTCAGTGCAAGATGTAAAAGTGGGTCACCTCGTAGACGAAGAGAATGTAACTGCTTTTAATGAAGAAGTACTAAACGATTCTACACTTGAAGGTGCGATGTCCTTGAGTTGGAGAGTGATTGCATCCTGTTTTGAATTCTTATGTTTACCCATTTAAAAGATATACATATATTAGAATTAATTTTTATTGTCAAAATAAACTACTTTTAAATTTATTTTTCTCAAAATTTAAGCAGTTTCATTTTTTTATATGTTCGCTGCCACCAATTTCACAAACTTCAAGTGAGGTGAATGATATCCGAACACTTTTTCGGGGATTCGTTTCTCAGAACCCTTAAATTCACTCGGAATTCATTAAAAAAAGAAAAAAAAAATGTGGAAAGAACACCAAATTTCGGATTCAAAGTGAACTCCAGAAGAATATAATGACTTATTAATACTGACTTCCAGGAAAGGCAACCATTTACGGCAAGAAAAAAACTACAAAAAATTGTTGACTCTCACAAAATAATTTTTTTTAAACATGTTTTTTTATAGCAAATTAGACAAGGATTACGATGGTGTAATTTTAAATCCCTTATTTACTGGTCTTTGCTTTGCAAATCAATCTCAAAAAGTTCAACTGCGAATAGCTAAGTTAGTTAGAGTACAATCATGACCATCTTATATGTATATACATATATGTAGATGTAAAGCTTTAAAACGACGTTAAGATGAAGTCTCTGCGATTAGTAGGAATCACGAAAACTTTGACAGATCATATCTCCGGATCTCGAATACGTGTTACCTTATTTCATGTATAGAACCCACAAAAAAAAATTGAAGCGAATCGGAGACATAACATACTTTTTTTTATGAAACCCGTCCGGTTTAAAAAAGAATGGCTCATATACAAGTTGAGTTCAAAAACATTATAAGTCCATCCCACCTTTTCATCTGTCATTGGAACACCATTTTGTTTTCTGGAAAACTACCATTAAAAATAAATTGGAAACCGCGAGACATATAACTATTCTATGCATGCCGATAGTCTCTAACAAATAGTTTCAGCGTTAAAAGGTTTTTATTGATTATCTCGGAACGCTGATCTTGGACTTGAACAGTTGTCGAACTAATCGATTCAACAAATAAATGTTAAACAAATAATTCCTAAAAGATTCCATTTAGTGGACGAAGTGCTAAAAGAATATTTGAGCGTCTGTCGCTCTTTGGTTAATTTTTTAGACTATAATTTCTAAAATGAGTTTCTACCCAGGTCCGGACTTTCTGTGATATTAAACCAATATATGCACTTGCATAAATATCCGAGCTCTAGTGATATCACATGCGTGACTACTTAGTTTCTAAGGTGGGCTGTAATATGGAAGTGTTTAGGGTTTTGCTTCTAGCTTGTATCTGCGGCAAAGTTTAATAATATTATGTCAAGCAGGTGTAACATTGGCTGCATTTCTTTATTCATTCTGAACGTTTGGAATAAGCTTTTTTGTTTATTTATTCTTTAGAACGTTCCTGTTGATATGGTGACGTATATTTCAAACGCATTCTGTTTATTCCGACTGTGAAATGGGATTATCCGGAATGTATAAAGAAACGCAGCCATTGTATCTTCGTTTGGATTCTATCAGACCGATTCTGAACAGAAACCCCCTGGGAGCCTTCTTGAAACCTCAGTGAAAGTATTATAGTAGATAGATTCAGCAATATCCCCGATTGTGATCAATTAGCACTCCCAACAAATGTACTTACGTATTTATCGCAGAAATTGCAGAATATACTTATGGATATACATATCGTCACCTAATTCACAAAGGCCCTAACCAACACTTTTTTCAAAACTGCGTTTTTCAAAGATTTTGGTAGAATATATTAAAATACACCTTTACTTAAAATTTAAAATGTTAGTACCAAAAAAGTGTTAGTACTAAAAACAACGGAGTTATGCCACTTTTTAACGCCCTATGCCTATGAATGATTCGATTTTTATACTGTTTTTCTTCTCCTGCAAAATAAAAAATTTGTTAGGGCGTTTGTGAATTAAGATAACGATATGTAAATTTAACTTAAATTTGACATAAGGCGACATTAGCAGCTTAGCACAGATATCGCGGGAGTTGTTTTTTATTGTGATAAATACAAATAAAATTATATTTACCTTGGTATCTAAGGAAATAACTCGTAAAAGGAGGTACGCGCACGAGGAAATGCAGCACCGTGCCAGAGTTTGAATAGTGCGAGCTATAATGATACGGCTTCAGCGTCATGGAGCCCATGTTAGTCATCGTATTGTTAATGTACTGGAAAAAATATAGAAATTGTTAGTTTCGCTGAAAACGTAGTGAAGAAACAGGATTTCTTTCTAAATTGTTTTGTTCAAAAATAATAGCTGACACATGGACAAATTTTTCACATGTAGATATTGTGTATAATGCATTGACAGGAATACCCTTCTCCCATGTGGTGCCCGGACCACGAATCTGAAGTCGTTTTGCTTCACCACGTCAGGATTTTGCTCCTAACCTCAAAAAAACGTGCTTGTCACATAATAACCGCCATGCTTTTTGAGGTTAGGAAACAATCCTGAGGTGATAGAGCAAAACGGATTTCAGATTCGTGTTCAGGGCACCAAAACACATCGCGATAGGGTATTACTGTCAAAAGTACATGCCACTTTTTGTTTTTTTTTTGTGGTGCTGTGTAATTTAATTTTTGTTTATTCGGTGACTTCCAGTAAAATTCTCCGCTTAACACTTTTGCAGAACCCTTTAACCTTTACATTAAAATTTTTGGCTAACTTCTGGGAATACGGGGAGTAGTAAAGGGCTAATATTTTGTCACATATTTAATTAAGTACCAACAAGTGTGAACTTTTACCAACTGTACAAAAAATTGTGATGAGGTGAAGCAAAGTCCGAAATCTATCCGTTCCCACTAAAATGTTCCTGATTTTCATTTTTAACTTACCGTATAGTTGTTGATGTAATGTTGTTCATTCTCTTCGTGCTGGACAGCAACAGGTTTCTCCAACTTACGGAAATTCGATGTGTCAGTTAAATCCAATATGTCGGATATATAATTTGATATTATCCATGGAAATATAGGATATTGCATGAGATCATTATAAGTCCGTCCAGCAATTTGATTAAGTGTCATTAAGTATTCCCAATTGGTCAATAAACCTTCGCGCCATTGTTGTGTGATTACGAGAATTTTTGCTTGGTCGGGATGTGTGACGATCTTATCGCAAAACACATCGTACATAATTTTATAATCTTCTTGATTTTGTAGTGAGAAAAATAGAGATTGATTTGTATCTAAAAATATTTCAAAAGCTTTTTCCTGATGCTGATAGCGTTTAAGCCAAATTTCACTTATACTCGAGATATCACAGTTAATGTAGAAGTACTTGCATCGATATGTAGCCATAAAGTATAGTTTATGATCGGTTATAATAATCTCACCATCTATTTCGCCATCTACTGGTAAGAATTTGGCAGGAAAGTTATACAATATTTGAGAGTTGAGCGAAATATTGAGCTGTTGGTCATAGCTGGACAGAAGATATTCTAATGGTCGTACATATTCTGCTATACTAGAGGTACTCGAATTCAATGGAATATCACTGTTACGCAGCTCCGTAGTGTTATAGTCCTCCATAAAGAAGCGTTTATCGATATCCAAATGGCATCGGCGCAGGCGCGTATGGACCCTGGATGGACCTTCAGTGTCGTCTAATTCCCAAGAGCTATTAAATCAAATTTTGTGCACATGTATGTGCATGTGTTGATAATTTCCAGGCTATAGTTAAGGACTTTTCTTTATATACATACTTTTCCGAACGTTCTGCGGAGTGCCATGGCGCACCTTCGTGTGTCATTCGCCGTACAACTCCCAACCACCTTGTGTAAATGCTGGCGTCATCATAGTCTTTTAATTGATACATTAATAGCTTGCGTTCAGAGTTCTGAAATTCGCATATAACTTAATTTACCGTTATATCTAAAAATAAAACATTCTACCCACCTGCAACTCCGCAACGCGCCTTGTAGTTAACATAGACGATTCAATGCAACTCACAGCAAGCGGTTCTAGCCGGAAAACGGTCTCTTCTAATTTTGCCTTTTGTTCCGCTGCAACCGCACTACGATTGAGCTCAATACGCTCCAGTTCATTTTCCAAATTCCACGTCGAATCATGCTCATTGATACCTAATAGTTTGCATAGACGCTCTAAATTTCTCAAAGGTTTTTCCAAATCTTCGAGCAGACACAACCACAGAAACGATTTAATTATCTTTCCATCGCAAACAACTGGCGGCAATAATTCGGATTGGCAAGAACTCCAGAGCGCATCAACAATGAAAGCACGCAGTTCGCGCGGCCGTGATGGCTGCAGACCCCAAGCTATGAAATTGTTACAACGCTGGCTTGTGGAAATGCTATATGAAACAATTAGTTGGAAAAGTTCTATTTCCGCAGCACTAGACGTGTAATTGGTATCACAAATGGTGAAGAACTGCGCACAACGATCTATGAGTAAGCGCAATCTCTCTTTAGTCTCGTTAATAGACAACGTAGAGTTCGGCAGCACAATAACTGTAAAGTGCAAGTAGTAAGTAGGTGATATCAAGACATATGTATATTTTTTGTCTATGGTGCTTACCTTTAAAAGTGGTTGGTTCATTTGCGGGCTCAAAAAACATGCTTATCCACTTTAATTGTAAGCGCGCTTGCGCAGAACGTAAATTTTTGATAACCAAGGCACTTGCACCTTCGTGTAGGAATGTAAGCATGTTTAAAATATCCCAAACAACCTAAAGTCGTAAGATATTTCGGATTTTCAAAGGAAACGGTTAGGATAAGGCCATATTTTATAAGTGCCCGTGCACACAGGCCTCTTACAGCTGAACTGAGATATGAACGCAAGCTTAGGATGGGGATGTTATCAGCAAGCAGAACTGAGGGATTAGATATAAAGCACACTGATAAAAGAAAACTGATGTTAATTCGAAAGAGATTACATTCTCGCTAGCACACATTTGATCATTTGCTTTGATTAACATTCGATTACCGCTCAAGTGTGCTATTTTGCTTGTAAACATCATATGGTTTCTAGTTTTTAATACGAACGCATAGGAAAAACAAGGATGCTTGTTCAAACAACACACAAACCAAAACACAGTATAAGCTTTGAGTGCTCATCAGCTTGATTATAAGTTCATCATCCGGCTCAACTATAAGCGCTCTGTATGCGCGACTCCTTAGTGCTAACCTTGATGAGACCAACTGATTTCAACGACTTCTCTCCTATTTTCGTTAAAAGCGCCAGTATCGATTCTTCTAACAAAGAATCTACAACGTTTGAGCCTAAATATAGATTGAAAAGCGATTTGGTGCAACACAGCAGCAAACCGGCATCAATCAAAAGTTGCTGCTGTTCTGTGTCCTGAAAAGTTAAAGAACGCTCTAGAAGGGTTTAATATAAAAAACATACCTTAATACGTACGGTGTTAAACATTTTGTTGAGAATTTTGAAGGCCTTTGCCTTATGGCTATTTTGATTGTTAGCCATATTTATTACAATTGACAAAAGAGCATTGATTCCGAAACGGTCAACCAGGTGCAAAGTCATGTCCGAGCTCAGAACTGTTGACGAACTATTATATGTGCCAGTAACCCATTCCAAACAAGCTTCAAACATCTGCATATCAGTTGCATATAAAGACATTTGATTTGCCAAGTGCTGGGGATATAAGCTTTTCACATGCGCAACTATGTCACTTTGTTGTAGGCGCTTCAAAAGTACCGCTAATAATTTAATTATGGCGGTACGCACAGCACAGCT